GCACTCCTGGTATTTTGCATCATTTCTTTAACGGCCTTTCAATTTCTTTAACGATCCTTTAACAACCATAATCAGCGATTTCATCTTTTTCTATTTTGTGTGAAGTATCTCTGCCGTGTACAAAATCTGCCGTGCCGCTGGGGGAAGTTCTCGCAGGACACTCCCCTCCCCCCGAGTTTCCTACTCAGTAGTGAGCAAAAAGAAACAAAGAAGGTTGGATCTGTCAGGTTCACGGGGTTTTTGGAGTGCTCCTTGTGCAGCACTAAATTATCGTAAAGTGCTCGGAATTGAAAGGGAAGGAGTTCAAGATAGTGAAGAGTAAGTGAACCACTTTGAAAAAAAGTAAATGTCTTTCGATGGCGTTAATCCCAATTTGCACAATGAGTCCTTGAAATGTGCCCTCAACGGCATGATGCCCGTACATTCTATGTTCTGGACCTTCTTTGCACACCGCAGTCTTCCGCAAATATGGAGCACGTGTTACTTTTGCAGCTCATAAATACGTAAAGAGAGCGCCCGTTTGCGACGAGGATACACGGCCCCGCCCACTGGCCAAACCTAGGCCCAACCTTAAGTCCTGAAAGTGCCTTGGTGGCGCGGTTGTTTGCTACTAGCTCTCTCCATTTCGAATGGTGAAAGTGAGGTCGGTAATTAGGAATAACCAACACTAACAAGAGAGAACTCGTCCAACCACGCGCTTCCCTCGCCTTATGCGCGTGCAAATGCGTTTTAGTGAGGGGCTTCATGTTGTGCATTTCCAGCCTATTTATTTTGCTTCTCTCTTTACTTTTGTCTTATTGACCATCCTGTCATTAGTGAAGGCGCTTAGTTGACCATTTCTGGATGTGGGACGAGCCATTGAGGTCAGTGGCACCAAAGCTTCTTCACACTGATAAGGGAGTGATATCATCTCGCCATGGCCATTCAGGATAAGACGTAGGCTCTTAGGTCTTCGAACGGTGATATCATATCTCAGTTCCAAACCTGCTAAACGATTCTAGGAGAGAATTAGGGAACACTTCGCTACTGTGCTTAGACAGTGCGGCTCCACCCCTGCCTATACTTTACGTTCATAACCCTCGTGACCACAGCCGCTGCTGTGGTTCGATGACGCAGCAGGTGTATGAGCGGACTCATAGCAGCGGGACAAAGGTTCGGATCCCCCATGCATTATGTGGTTTTGCTTTTTCTTAAGACGTACGTTGAAAACGTGGAAAGCAGCTGGCTATGAGGCTTCCTCTCTGCTCCTTATTGAGCCCTACGAATGACTTTTAAAGGCACGTTCCGCGATAAACTAAGGCTAGAACCTCATGAACGTGCATGATGATCAAGCAGGCAACAGTAGAGGATATGCTGCTTTTAAAAGTTGAAAAACAGCAAGCAGAACGCACGACGCTCATGTTTTAGGCCCATTGGCGCCCGATAGGCCCATGCCGGCCTCCGGTAACCGTGTCGCTGTGACGCTGCCATTGCGCTCTCTCGCCAGCCTCTCTCGTCTCTTATCAGTGTATCGCCGCCTTTTGCAATCCACAATCGATCTTGACCACCTTACGCTCGTCCGGTGATCATGATCAATTGAAATAAAGAGGGTCTTATTGCGGGCGCTTTTTCGTGGTTCCTTCTCTTCAATAAGTCAACAATCACAGGGCAATTCTATTTTTGAACTGTATTACCTATGAAGTGTGGTCGCTGGAATTGCCTTTAAGAGAAATTGCACTTTCAGTTAACTCGCTCAAGCAGGGCCCGATATGCACGCATATCTGCTTCGAGCGCTTGAACTGAAAGTCCCTTGCTACTACTGATGAATTCAAAATATTTGGGACACAGGATCCGACATCTGTAGTAGTTCTCTCCACGCCACACTCACAATATCAGCGCAGCTTTTGCGACCGGACGTCCGCTAAGTGGGGGAAATCTTCTGGCCGACTTTGGTGCTATTCATCTAGTCTATCAGTTTTTTCATCAACAGGGCTCAATAAGGAGCACAGAAGGGAGGATCCGAACCTTCCTTACAATTCTGTAGGCCCAATTACCTACCTGCTGCGCCATCGAATCACATCTGCAGTCGTGTCACGAGGTGTTTACAAGCGCGAAGTATGGGCAAGGGGCGCACCGCACTGGTTGAGCACAGTAGCGGAAAGGTCCGTAACTTCCTCTCGAATCGTTCAGCAGCTTTGGAAGTCTGATCTGATATCAGCGTCATATGTAAGACGCTTCTAAGGGTATACATTTCATCTTGAATGGCTATGACGATAGCCTTTCCCTGCTAGTCGTACAGCGTGTTTTGTGAAATACCGTAATTCAGCAGTCAAATCTAGGCCTTTAATGTGATGTTCAAAAGCATCACATCAAAAGCTTAGATTGTCTATTGAATCACGCTTGTGATGCTAATTGAATTGTGTGATGCTTCTACAAACCTTACGGTCGTTCAAGTGTCCCATAATTCTGCATATTTCTAAGATTGCTTTCCTTTCAACACTCTGCTTTTCGATGAGCTATGGAACACTTTTCGCTAAGTTCTAGTGTTTAGCAAGAGATGTGACTGATCGGGTTAGCGATAGATTATTCATGATTCTCAAACGTATAATACTAAGCCGAACAAATTGAAGTTTTTTGTAACAAAATTTTGGACTTCACTTTGCGTCAATACGATTTGTTTCTTTTTTGCCTCACAGGGGGGAACCCTTCACTTGGCTATGGGCTTGCAGACGTACAGTTACTGTTCGTACTTCTGAGTCTGTCAGGTGACATAAGGCAACATTCGCCTCTGTCTGCAATATTGTTGTCGAATTTCTTACCAAACTCTTCAGCATGCCACTATAATTCCGTTACGAGAGTGTCCTTTCATTGCCTTTCCTGCTCGTCCTTTGGAGAATCATTCCATAGGTTGTTGGAAGGGTCCCCTCCCCAGCCCCACGGCGCTGTACGGCTCGGGGAGGAGAAAGGTGGATGAGGATAGGGGAACTCTCGTCAGCTCCTTCTGCTAGTTCGTGTCAACCACAGGCCTGCAGCTGGTGGCTTACGAACTAACGTGAAGCGGCGAATAAGCATAAAAGGCCTTTTTGGCTATAGAGATCTGGTTCCGCTCAGTACCATTTGGTGCCCACACCGAGCTGAAGTTCGCCTTTTAATGACCTGTTCCTATCATCAGGGGCTTGGAATAACCCCCACCATTGAGGAATCCTATTTTATTGCATGATAACGTGGTAAATTGATTTGTTTGGGCTACAAAGCGCGAAAGACGATGTCTTGTCTGGTAGGAGAGTTGTTTGCTAACAATTCAGCGCAGAATGGGGAACAGAGGGAGTTTGGCTATTGGGGAGAATTTTTCGCAGAAGTGGATTTCCTACTCCGGTGCCAGAACTTCCAATACACTCACCTCGTTGTGTTATTCGTATGACTGATAATTTGTTATTGGCACCTGAGGTATACTCGAAATCCCTGAGATCGGGTAGGCGTGGCCGCATGTTTCAACTTAACCTGAAGGTGTCTATGCTTCTGGTGAGATATTTTCATCTTGACACAATTGTTGTCGTGTCTCTGTCCAACACAGAACAAGATGACAGTTGTCCCAGACTGGAATATTCCACGAGTAACCAGTTCCGTGCCATGTTCAAATGCCACGCCTACTCTATCTCAGGGATAAGGAGTACATGTTCAGATTGATATTCAGCGATCTTCTATATGAGGTTAGTGGCGACTATGATTTTGAGGCACACTCTGAGTTCATTTGATGTGGCGCTTCTTTGAACCATTTAGTGCTGCCTGAAGGGGTGGAGGAGATACGACTTCCGTAGCACAAAAATGGGTGAACAGGAAGACCGTCCCAAGACTCGGCCCATTGACCACGGCGACGCCCTTCTCCATTTTTGACCGCTCTTTCATTTTTACTGCTCCGCTGCTATCACAATTCCTTTTGAAGGTAAGAGTGGGATGATATGGAGGAAGAGCTGATGCTCACAAAAGAGAAGTCCTCCAACTACCTCATGCATCGCCTTATGCACATACCAGCGCAGTTCACGATAGTGTTCTATATGGGACATTTCGATCATGTTTTTTTTTCTGATTTTTCGTCCTTTTTTGTTTCTCGCCAGCATGTCATTAGTATATGAGCAGCACAACTCACCGTTGTTATACGCGGAGCGTGATTCGGGCAGTTCACGCGGTCGGCGTCGAGGGACGTGGCTGCAGCAACGACCGCGTGCGCAGGAACTGTTGGCGACAATCAGCTGTCTCCAGCCTATTTTAGCCACTTTCTTCCTGATTTACGCTGTTTTGACTGTTTTTCTCAAGGTTATTCAATCTTCTCTCCACTAGGTAAATTGTGATTGGGATTTCTCTCATTTTTGCGAACAATTGGACAATAAACCAAGCAAATAAACAACTACCCGGGCGGATCGCAAAAACGCTTCATTACGAAAACAAATAAAGACACAACTTGCCTTGTGAAAAATAGAAAAGCAGTGGTGAAAATTAGGGAGGTAATGGCTGAACCAGGTTGGCAAGAGCTGATCGCGCCGCAGCCGTGTTGCGACTTTTGACCACCTGATCAATTGCCTGAATGACGACTGTATGGGCAGCACAACACCCCTTTTCTAAACGTGGAGCGCGCCTTTGAGTGGAATAATATAAAGTTTACGCAGATTGTGGTTTTCGGACACTTTTGTTCGGAAATGCTCAATCTTGTCGACCTGGCATTCCAGTTCGAGCATTTGGATGTCAGTGGAAACAAAAACCTCAAAAAAAAGTAAGAAGTTTTTTTCATAGAGCAGGAGACTCTCTGCAAAACAGTGTGAAACTCAGGGCAAGATTTTCTACCTTTGCATGATCTCTCGTTTGAGAAAAATACCATTACTTATGGGCCAACCCAATACATCGAAGCAGAGCACGTTCTCTTCTACATCGTCCTCATCGTGTTGGCCTCACAGTGCTTTCGTGAGGCGGTTCAGGTGTTTAAGTTTGTACAGCAGACCCATTTTGAGTTATCATCTTCGTTCAAGATGGTAGCAGAGGACATCATCTCTCAGAGGTACGATGATATCGTCAAGAGCCCGTCAGATCAGAGAGAGGTTCGTACTCTTTTTACTCAGATTTTAATAGGTTCAGGAACCGCAGTGACCTAGCCACTCTTTCTGTAGACCAGGTGGCAGATCTGTGCCCCGATTTGGCGCCCCTTTGCCTTTCTGTGCTATCGCAAGAAAGAGCGATGGCACGGCTTCAGCTATCGGGATGGTGCGATTGGGGAGGTAATGCGAATTGGTACGCAGCAATTGGTACAACATGCAGGTCCCAAAACAAGTCTAATGCTCGTACCGATCAACGCCACTCTCGCCTAGGTCATATATTTGATATGAGATCCGTCCGCGAGGTTGAGCTCACGAAGTTCCGCATCCGCTGTCCATTGCAATTTGGTGTGGGCGACACACTGTTCTGCAGAAAGGTACAGCATCGCTAGCAGAAGCTCCTCAGCAGATCGTTTGTGGTCGCTGAAGAAGGGGGAGATCATAGGGCGGGGCGAGTCAGCACTGATGACGAAGCAAACGAAAGATTATGAAGATGTGAGTCTTTCGAAAGGCATGGACCCAAATTTGAATAGCGCTGCGAACGATCGACCGCTGTTATCCTATGAGAGAGGGGGGAGGGGGTGCGGGCGTACAGACACCATTCTACCCATCCCAATGCTGTACCTTGCCTGTAGAAGGGTTCTTCCGATGTATCGGGCCATGGTTCGAGTCGTTCCAAGGCCAAACTAGCCTTGTGCTTTTCTGGGGCTGCAAGTGCAATTAGAAGAATAAAGGAATTAGGCTGAATGGATGAGTATGCTCTTTACCTTCATTCTGAAGCTCTGATCTCGGGAGTGAGGCCATATACATTTTAAAACCTTTATTAGCGCGCTCTTGCCTCGTACGGCGCTAGAAGAGCCAGTGGAGCGTGGGAGCGCCAATGAAGAAAGTGGAACGGTAGGCGTGACTCCCATTCAGTCGGCATGGAGTGCCTCTTCAACTGTATTTTTCAGCGTGATTTTGGCCTAAAAAGAACAGTTCATTCTATTGCAGTATCGAGGACTTGAACTCACAAATGGCCTCCGGGTACTACTGGTATCGGATCCGTACTACAGATAAATCCGCCGCTGCAATGGATGTTAATGTCGGTAGGCTACTATAACTTACGAGTCGCCTCGCCGGCTGACGCCGGCGCGGCTCCTTCTGATACGGCCCGGCTGCGCCGGGCGGGCGCGGCTTCGCCGCGCGTACTTTCTTTCACATATTTCTAGACTCAACTGATATCCGCCTTTTGTTCTGTACTCCACTTTTTTCCGGTGTCTGAAGTACTCTTGACCTATGTTACAGATTCTTCGTCTGACGCCTACCTCA